TATTTTATACTGTTTTGTATATGTATACATATAAAAGGTATATGGACATACATATACCAGGGTGGTCCACGCAATTGTTTCAGGTCATAACTTCGTTATTAATGCATTTACGATAAAATGCCAAAGGAGAAAGATAAATGGCTCGAAGAGCACTACATCTGTAGGCCCTTAGATTTTTTTTAAGTGCAGCAGTGCATGTGCAATTGACAATCGCATCATTTATTTAAACGAAAATGCATACTTTTTGTTGCGCAGATCGATTCCTCTGTTCATTCTACGTAAAAAATTGTTAGGGTACCATGGCAAAAAAATTATGAGTTCTCGAGATATTTTCAAAAAATGTCTTTATTGAAGAAGATGCTCAAACGCTTCATGACTACTTATGTAGTAAACGTAAACACCGTTTCGACATTGTTCTCATTTCATCATTCAGTAGCAATTTACGTATCGTAACTTGTGATTGTATTTCACTAAACAAAAGAAAATGTATTGAAAATATCTCGAGGACTAATAATTTCTTTGCCATGGTACCCTAGTAATTTTTTACGTAAAATGAACAGAGGAATCGATCTGTGCAACAAAATTAATTGCGCATGCACTGTTGCTCTTCCAGCTATTTATCTTTCTCCTCTGGCATTTTTTCGTAAATGCATTAATAACGGAGTTATGACCTGAAACAATTGCGTAGACCACCCTGTATACAAAACAGTATAAAATACCACTCACTCCTACACCCCTCGTTCATTAGTCTTACCGCGGTGCGTAGAAATTCGCGCGTTAAAAAACCGCTTAGAAAATTGTGCCCGGAAACGTACACGCGATTTCTCCTTCTAATAAGTCGTGGCTTCGAATTGATTCGAAATGAAAGTTATCGCTATATATCTAAACACGGTGTGTATAAATAATTACGAGCCTAGTTAAATAAATAATGGGCGATGGAGCACCGATAATTACCCGATATATACAGAAAAAGAAAAAATAAAACAGAGAAAAAGGGAATTGTACGTACGATTACGCGATTCGCTTTTTTGATATCTCTAACCTTTCTTAGATTTCTGTTTTCTTTTTAACCTGAAGCGCCGCCGTTTGCTCGCGCCTGAAGGAAGACTGCGCATCCGCCGTTTCCTCTTTTCTCGAATTTCGCGCGACTATCCAATAAAATAAAAAGGATGTAGCGTGACATGCGAAAAACGCAGGGAAATAAAATCCACGCGACAAAATATTCGACTAGTACGGGAGAATAGTGTACAGGTCGTTTCAATAACTTTTTTTCTCCTTCTTTTAGAATTTGAAGTACCTAATTGAATTTTTCCCGCCTCGAACTTTCCTCACGGACATCGAGGAACGTCAAAAATTTCTAAATAAATTACCATCGCTAGAACACCTAGAACAATGAAATTTTTCAAACATCCTATTCGACGAGATTCGACGAGGAAGCGGCTTTAATATCGCGCACATTTATTATGCTACACGAATAAGTCTTTAAAAATGTTTTCATCGCGCAACGGCGGTTCGTCAATGTTCAACCGAACACTCGACATTCTACATCGAATCATCTTCTTCTACTACCGTATGTACACTTCGTTAATACGGCCGGCCAAAAATTTTAAAGCATTTCGCAAATTTTTCACTTTCTCCGTGGGTTTAAACAATTCGCCCGTTAAACGAAAAAGCAAGTACTCGAAGATTTGATTAAGCATCGACAGGAGCATATGTTCGCATAGCAAAGCAGAGGCGCCGCGTGAACCAGCGAAGATATATTCGAATCGAACTTTCTTCTCGACTTTAAACGAGAACCTCGAGGCTTTCGCGCGATCGAGCCTTCTGCTGTCCACATTTACCATTCGCTTGAACAATCATAGCGACGGACTGGCAGCCGGTCTGAGAATTGATCGGTCGAACCGGCGGCATCGCTAGTCGAAGCTTGTACCAGAACTTCTTGCTCCCGGAAGCTGAACTTCCGTTCTCCTCCCACTGGAGGATCTTGAAGCGATCGAGGGAGAGTTCTCCGGCATCGTTGCAGCCTCGACTTGATCGTTTCGCAATCGTGGTCGTGTTTGGTAGATCCTTCGTGGCGATCACTATCGTTCGCGTCGAGAGCGACGATAGCTGCTTCAGCACTGCACCCACGCTGCTCTCGTTCCAGATATTCCCCAGGGACGAGGGACTCAGGATCACGATAATCCTCCGGCAGCTGGTCGCGTGCGGACCTATTTCTAGACCCCCTGAAAACCAAATTGTACTTTTTCTTATTATTCTGCTAAAAACGGTTTCCTTCTTTACCTCGATATCAACCTTTCCAAAAATGTTTCAATACTTACATCGTGGAACAATTTGATAGAATGAACGGGCGAATCGATTATCGCGATTCGGAAATTCTTCTTGAGATCCCCCCCCAAACTTGTTCGCTAATGTCTGATGGACCACGGGCAAAGTTGACTAGTCAAAGGATGAAGCGGATTCCCCCAGAGCCGGCATGCGAGCCAACTATGCCGCGAAACTTTCGCCCCTCGGTCTCCAGTACTGCACTGGGACCAAAGTCACGCAGCTATTTATGCCGAAAATTCGAATTTCCTCTCAGATGGTGCAACTGTGTGCAAACTTTCCTTTCTATTGCCCCAAGACGTTCGAGTATCACGAGCGAGGGGCGCGATCCAACAATTTCTCTGACCTTTAACAGCGGTTCCCTTCTCATTCTTCAATTTCTACATTTTCCAGGTTTCTTCATTTTCATTCTCAGAGATGTCTACGATTTAAACAATTTGTTCGAATACGTTGGTAACGATGGGGCTAAAACTTGGGGAACAGGGACAATTTCGAGGTTTCGTAGCGTTATATCGGAAGTTGCCGCGGAGTCAGCGGTGAGAATGATTTCGTATACACCCAATTCGAACCCACGGCTGTCTACGAGAGACAAATGAGACGCTCGAACGGTCCGCGCTGGGAACTTTCTAATTCAATTTGCAAACTTCCGCACCGTGATTCCCCGATCCTGAAGGATCCTCCACACGTTATCTTCCGGTTATCAGCCGTGTGTCAGCCGTCGTTCATAGAAACACTCGAGCCTTTCAATAACCTTTCAGTGGGCTCCAAAATGTACGCATATTATAAATCTCGAAGTTCTCGTGAAATTTTCTCATTTTATAGAAGCAGTTTTCTTTTCCTTACCGACTGATAAGATTTCGTGTTCAAGATCGCTTTTCTAACAAAACCGAGAAAAAAACGACTCTGAAAAGGTTCATAATCTACCGATCAGAAAAATATATGTATATGTATCGTCGTATTAAAAATGTTAATTTCACAAAGCAAACGGCGGCAAATAATTCTCAGAGGCTGCAGACGTGAAGTTTTTGAATATAAAAAATCGAGAAAGGAAGAAAAAGTTCGGAAGGGAAATTTATGCATAGACTAGCTTGCATCGATGCATCGCTGGGAGGGTAGAGGGGACAGCGTGTGGCAATTTGCATTAATAAAATTGCGCGCTCACCTACAATTGGGCTCACGGCCCAATTTTGTTCTGCCAATTAGAAGGAAATTAGCGTCTGAATATTTTTCGCCGAGCACCCGTTATCACGCTGCATACCTAGCCTGTTGATATTCATGAAATGCAGAGACGGGATGCCCGCGAAACTAGATGGCGTTATAGCCCCTCACAAACTTTTGCCTGCCTTTATTCCTGGTAATCGTGGACGTTTTCCTTCCTCTTCTTCACTTGGCTACTACCCGATTCTATCGGCCGCTTGTTCGCAAACTTACCCACCAAATACGCCCCACTACCGTCTACCATTTTGAGCCCCTTCGATCCCCCATTCGACCGCCCCTCACCACACCACTTTCCATACCTTCTCCATTTTTCCTGCTCTTTGACCAGAGGAAGGGGGAAAGTTTGCAGAGTTAACCTGGGTTTTCCTGAAGAGTCGAACAAGGGGGTAGAAGCGCGAGCCCTCGGGGTGTCGGTGGACGCCGCGACGGAATCACCTTCGCCCTTTTACCCGAGCACGCGGCAGGAAACTTAATAACGCTATTAGCGAGGAAGAGGAGGAGAAGGAGGAGCCCTCTTCTCTCGCTCGGACCGAGTGGTTTGCCGTCGCGTTTAATTAAAGCCGGGGACTTACAATTCTGATTCAGCTGGGAGAGCTCCAACGGCGTGCACTTGTATCGATGCCTCGACTCCAGCGTGGGGATCACTATACCGATGACCAGGCTCGAGTCTTTCTCGTGGTAGCACACCAGGGCGTCGCATTCCTTCCCGTCTGCAATTCGTGTTCGTGACCGATAGTACTTAACTACGTGTCTCTTCCTTCAGATTAATCGAGTTTCGCGATCGAGAGGCGCCTAAGAAAATTTCATCGACCGCCTCCTCTCGATCGCGACACTTTCTCCGTCGTATATTTCACCTTATCCGATTATTTCCAACAAACTCGACGAATTCTCGAGTGAAACGGTGGCAAATTGGGAGAGTGGAGAAATGGTTAAAAAGGAGAGAAGATGGTGGTCTTCCAGTAAGATGGTAAAAAGGACGCTTAAGTTAACATCTACTCGGTGACACATTTACCGCATTTCACCCGGTGAAACGTTGCTTCTCGAACTCTACTGGAATAGATAAACGTGTGGCAAATTGAGGAAGCGGAGGTGGTTTTGAAGGGAAAGAAGCGATAACGAGGCACATTTGCGTAAACGATAAAGAAGCTGGAAGAAAGATAAGCCTGCAAGTATTCTCTCCGGTCGGTAGGCCGCTCGAGGTTTCCACTCGTAACCGTCTTCACGACATTCTGCCTGTTGAAACGACACGTCGCCGCGAATTCTGTCCCGTGTGCACCAAGCATCGCCGAGTGAAAGTGCCCGATTGTTTTATGGAACGATTCTCCTGCGAACGAGGCGAGAGAGTCGGTCACGAGTAAAAAGGAGCGAGCGCAACGATAATCCCTTTTACGAACTCTACAGTATTGACCATTAACGCGTTTACTTTTCACGCTGCACTACGTTCACCGCATAGCAGAAGACACGAGCGAAGGAAGAAGCGGACGTCGAACAATGAGCAATGGGCGAATGGAAATAAAATTCTCCGTGTGACAATACACGAAGAACGATCGGTTGGGAAAGTCTACGGCGCGTTTCTACGTCCGTTCACGCGTGCACACTCGCGTCCGCATATAAATGACGGTTGGCAACGGGCTAAAAATCTCGATAAATCCTGCACACGATCGACAGCTACGCGACCACCCGTGTCCAACACCTTTGACCGCGCTTCCACCGCCTCGAATTTATCGATTTGTCACCTTTATGTACCTCGATGTTACGAAAAAGAAAAGAAAATATTTTTCGGTTTCATTTGTCCGCTGTGATCCCTTTTTCCTGTTTCTCTGGCGACCACATTTTCTTTCCCACGATTTTCGATTATCGTTAACGAAGAGAAGGAGATGCGAGAATTTTCTGTCCGCGTTAACAAAGAGAAAATGATCGTCCGTAGAAACGTTAATAGGCGACGACGTCGCTTCCCAGAAGCATCGTAATCGCGGTAATTTTCCAGCTTCCGTATTAGGGGCCACTCGCGCGCCGCTACCCCATCGACCAGATCTCGTTTAAGCGCGACCAGGGCACCTCCTTCTGTAACCGGCTACGGCTTACACGTGTTACTCGCCTGCACGACCATCTCGACCGCGATTTATCCTTGTCTTCGCTTCCACTAATCTCGCCGGTTTCATTTTTCCCTATCTTCTACACACAACATTCTGCTCTTCTATTTTTTCTCCTCTTTTTCTATCTAACAATTCCTCTGTTACCTCGAGGCTCGGCCGATCGAGATAACAAATACGCCGAACGATAATAACAAGGTTCGAAGCGAGGCTGTTGCCTACTATCGACAACCCTCAATAATGTCCACTCGGTGGCGGAAAGAGAAAAAGACCGACAGCCTTCCTTGGAATAAATAGGAAGTGTGGCGGTACGCGACAAAGTTCATTCGGCACACAGTCTCGTTATCCATAAAAGCTTCTCCCAATTATTTCCGAATAGACTCCGTTTTTCGGTGTAATAACAGCGGGAACAAAAGAAGAGAAAAGTAGGAAATCGTTAACGGCTCGTCGCGACGTTTTCCTGGCGTGGATTAAACGAAGATCAAGTAAACTAGAGCGGCGTGGGCATTGAGTGGAGCCGGATATTAGAGTGATCCAAGAGGGCAGGAGAGTTCTTTCGGAATATCGAGCGCTGGCATCCATATGGGATACGTAAAACTTGCACGAAATGGGAATTCGATATGCTAATTTCGGCTGGGCTAAGAGAACCTCCCCTTGAAAACGCTCCGCGGAACAAATGCCATCTTGAAAATATGTTGCATCGGTTTCACCGCTTCCGATAAAGAGGAAAAAAACCGGAATTGCCTCGGGGGTGGGCAAAAAGTCGTCGGGGAGAAAACGGGGGCTTAAGGGAAGGAAGAGGAAAAATAAAAGTAAATTGGACCCGCGAGAATCTTGCTCGATAACTGAGGGGAGCACTCCTTCCACCTTATACGCGCTGATGAACCCTTCAACGATATAGTGAAAATGATAAAAAGTACGCGAAATTCTTCGAAAATGAAATCCATGTTGTTTCAGCGGCGTTGCTTGCTTATTCCTCGTTTAAAAGGACGTCACGGAGGACAGGGATTAAGGGGCGATTGGAGCGCATTGCTGAGGAAAAAAGTGACGGAAAAAGACGCAAAGGTGAAACGCTATGTATCGGAGCGGCGAACAATTAAGAAGACGGCGGTGCTGCGTCCGATAATTACCGTTCTCCTCGAGGGGGGCGAATTTGTCGCGGCAAAGCAGCACAAGTGGCAGCCAGCAGCGCGCGTAGAACGCACCAGCGGAGATGAGTAGCACCAGAACCAGCACACCCACCAAAAACGACTTCCTCCAGGATCCGTTTTGAAGTCCCAACGCGAACTGTGGCTCTGGAAACACAAACACCCGTTACGTTCATTTTACCAAACGATCTTCCTCGCAGACAAAGCGCTGGGCACATTTCAGAAAAAATTCCAATGTCAAACATATTCTACGTCGATATTATAAGATCAGCGGGTTTAAAAAATTAACAGTAAAGGACGGGGCAGGGGGGTTGCAACGGTTTTTTCCCTCTGGTGGCAAACGAGCGTGAACGCGGAGACTCGCAACAACACGGAGCGCGTACGAATTTCGGTTAATTGGCTGGAATTAATTGGGCCACGCTGTCGGTTGGTAACGAGCGGCGAATTAAATCGGATACGATTGAAATCGCTGCGAGACGACGTTTAAAGTACGGATCGGATCGTTAATTAGCCACGGTTACGGGGACATATACGCTGTTTCTTTTTCCCGAAATGGTACGCGCGCATTTCCCTCCCCTCCGGTGCGAACGCAAAATGGGGAAGTTTTTACTGGACGTTCGAGAGGGAGTTTCCTTAACCGTGAGAGAGACTAACACGGATCAAAGGGTTTAGTTACCTTGTCGATAAACGTGAGCGGGTAACGTGATCTCCTCGTCCACGCCGTTGCTAACCTCGCACTTGTACTCCCCGTAATCTTCCAGAGTTATGTCCTCGATCTCCAAATAAGAGCCGATGATCTGATTGTTTTCCCTGAAAGCAGTCGTTAATCTTTTAGCAGACACGCAACGATATAGCGAGCAAAAATACACGCCGCACTCACGTAATTGTTTCTTATTTGCAACACCGCCACCTCTCTGACTAGCCATCTGACTAGGATACGCAGAGTCGTGGGGCGACATTGTCGAGCGTGTTTTACGGCGAAACACACCCCTTCGCACCTTATTCGTACCGTTCCACCACGTTTTTACGCTTTAATACACGGAACGAATAGTTTGATTATTCCATCGGTGATCTCTTTTGTTTTCAGACGGCAAGATGGCCGCGGAACGAAATACGAGATGCAAGATATGAAAGCAAAAGCAGACACACGAGAGCTTTGCAATAAGGCGAACGTATACACGTACACAGCGTGTATGTATATAGAAGGGTAGAAAGGTTCTCATATTCGATGGGAATAAGGAAGTCGGCGCATCGTATATCTGCCAGGTGGACACCCGGATTACGTACTCTCCGGGAAATATCACCCAACTCGATCAAGTCAGCCCCTTCGTTTCACCGTTTCCTCGACATTTTCAATCACACTTATAAATCTGTCCACGCGTCCAGCAAAGTAATCATCTACCACGCCGATTACTTTCCGCACTCTGTACACCTGTGCTTCTTTGCAACTATGCTACATCCAACGATCAATATGATCATATGGTAAACTCGTAGGCAACGCGTTTTGCGAAGAAATCGTGGAGGATTCCTTGCGGAGAGCGAAAGCGGCGTCTGACGATCGAGGCTATAAATCAGTCGATCCGCGCGACACTCCAACCAAGTTTTTTCGTCTTAAAGCTTATAAAGCCCTCAACTGTCCACGGACGTAGGCCGCTTTGGTCTCGCCATTGCCACGAACGCGTCTCCCCCGCGGTAACTTAATCATTCGGCCCGATCGCAGCCTCTTTTCTTCGAATCTCCAAGCCGTGACGCAACGCCGTTCACAATTCTTATCGTTCTTATCACGAGATTTCGACGCACGTCGAGTGCCTCATCGAGATCGGTGCTCTGGTAGTAAAACGATCGAGAATAGTCGCATGAAAGTGGATTGATACTTGGCGTAAAGTGGGAATGTGCGATAATGCTGGAAATTCCGAGCGTGATTTGTAGCGTTCAGGTATCTACTTAAGTACGTATATTTCATATTCTTTTTATTTCTGTTGGAGTGGAAATATACGTATGTTACCGTCAACACAAATACCGTTGCTTTAGAATCATTATTATACTGTATTATACGTTGGATATTTTCTCTTCGTTTCGTGACTGATGAAATATTTGTGCTGGTAAACGACTCCTTTCCTGCATCGCGTTTCCACTGCTCCAAAAATTCCAAGCGAGCAACAATAACGACAAGATTAACACGTTCGTCGCCCAGCGTGAATCGGTCGAGTTTCTCGCGGGGCCCAAATCCGATAGTCGGGGCGCAAGAACGTAAACAGAGCGATTAGCTGGAATTTGCGTTCTACGTTACCAGAAGAAGAGACAAATTCTCGAACGCCAGGAAGCGAGAAAAAATGTAAAAAAGACAACATATTGTCCCAATTGTCCAAAATCGCCAGAAATGTGTTGGAACTGTTTTAACGAATACCATGCTACGTAGTATAATATAGTGTGATATTCCATGAAATTCTTGTGTTATATGGATTTTTATAAATTACTTGTGAAATCCTATTTAACTTGACGAAGAAGAACGTCACCAATATCTGGGTGACGGGGCCCCCACGGAAGCATAACGACACCGCGAAGAAAGGTTTGGTAATCAATGTTAGTTTTACTAGTAAACCAAACAAAAACTAATCTCTTATTCTCTTGATGAACGGAGATACCGTTTCTCACACTGTTTATGTGAGTAAGGTGATAACGCACCCCTGTTAGATGATGTCATCGGTGCCTCGTGTCACCGGCTCTGCGTGCCCGGTAGAGTCAGTCCTCTCAAGACATTAATAACAGAAGGAAGTCACTTCCGATGCGTAGAGGAATAAAATATCCAAGTATTAAAAGCTGAAGCAGTTTATTTAAAACCCATTTTCCCAACAATCAACATCAGTATCCTCGCGCTCGTAACGAACGTTTCACCGTGATGTGCGGATAGAAAAACGCGTTGCGAATAAGCGCAGTGCTGGAAAGGTGGTCTGTAATAAAACGAAAAACTGTATTTCATCTTAACCCTTGTGTAGCCAACCAAAATATTCACCGTTGTTGGGCAACCGGGGTACCAGGGTACCCATATAGGAGAAATTATAATTAGACGAATTATGAATGGAAATTTTGGGAAGAAATTATACAGAATACAAAATTGTTAATGCTACTTATTTATTAAAATAAAAAATTTTAATTATAACGATTAATTTACTGTAGGACAATTTTTACAGACTGTAATTGTGTTTGCATGTTCATCGCAAACTGGTAGTAAACATTTCTGACAGCTTTTTCTTGTTTTCCTGCGTTTTTTAGCAGTATCTGCCTGACACATGTGACATGATCCTAGAACAACGTCGATTGTACAGAAATGTACCTAAATAGTATACTGTCTATTGCTAATTTAGTTGAAAAGTGTCGCATTATTTGGATATTTGAAATACAAAGTTCTTCTCCTAATTGGCGTAAAAATATACGACGATCATTTGTTTTTTGAAGATCTCATCTGCCCTTTCAAACCGATTAACGTCAAAAAGATGTCCTTGTTTATCTTTCTGCTGTCTATACTGCGATCAAGGTCTAAGACATGCTGAAAGAATTAAAAGACACGAGAAATCATTCAGTTGAATAATCTCTAAGTTTAACCGACTCTTGAAAACTCACCTGAAATTCGTCGTTCTTCAATTTCCACAAATTAACAGGACCTCTTCCACACGAGCTCGCTCCCGAAGTGAGAAAATACAAGATTTGATCGTGTTTAAAGGTGGTCCATCGTTCGACCACCCCAAAATCAGGCACATTAGCTACCAACTCGAATTTCGTTCCAGTGAATAAGTATGTGTGCATTTGACAAGTGTTGTAACTCAACATGAAATAGTCCAAGTCGTCTAATTCGAAGTAATGGACGCTAACGATGCCGCTATCCAACTCGATGATTTGTAAATAGTCGAATGCAGCGAACTGATAAATTTGCTTCTCTGCGAAATGCTTCAGGTGACTTAAATCGTCGCATATGCTGTTCAAATTTGCCTACGAAGAAAATACGAGCACTTAGACAGATTTTCAAGTCATTTGTACTTCAAGAGGATACACCACCCTGAGGTGACTAAAAATAGGTGAAGTTTGGAAATTTTTTTCATAGATAGACGAGACGGTGTAAATATAGGCTATCACTTTTATTTCAGGATTTATTGTCAAACCTGTGAATGATTTTTAAGATATGACATTTGTTGTATTCCGCGGCTCGCGATTCCTTGCGTTGGTTTATTATATTCAATAGGTACGCGGTAGGAGAGCCTGACGGAAACTGGGGCGAAATAAGGATGCTGTTCTGCGCGTAGTACTATTCGACTTTATTAGACAGTTCGGTGACGTTCGGTGCGTGAAGACCACTAGACAATAATCTGCTGTTTCGACGGAAAAGGTTTCTAGGTATATGTTCGGTAAGTACGAGAGTAGGGGTTGGTCTCAGAGGTGAATGTAGGGAGAGGCGGTGAGGTCTAGGTTCAGCGATGAGTAAAGGATGATGTGGAGGTCTAGGTTTCGGGGTGACTAACGTTAGGATGATGCGGATTTGTTTACAGTTAAGGAAAGGAGGCAGGATGACTAAAAACTAATGAAAGATAGGAGAGAGGTATACGACAATATCTCACGTATCGGAATAAGACATTTGGGACATCCGGGTACCCCGGTTGTCCAGCAAGCGTGTAAATAAGATAGAAGTTTAATTATTTAAAATATTTTATATGAATTTTTTTCACGAAACGTTAATCGATATAAAAGTATCCAAAGAATGGGGATCTGGAACCGTTTTGCGATATTTTGTCAAGAACATTAAAAATTTCTGAAGAAAATATAGAAATGGGTACCCGGGTACCCGGTTGGCTACACAAGGGTTAAAAGTGTATAGATCATTCGGAACAAGCAAGTGTCAGAAAGTACTCTAACTCGGAGTAGGGTGGGCGTAAAATTAATTGAACGTTTCTACGTTCTCGCAACAGTGTATTTTACACGAAGACTATTCCTGCGTTGTCTGAGCGTCGTTCGTCGAGCGTCGTACGCGTTCAACGGTCTCGCGACCACTCCTAAGCGAACAGGCCCAGGAAAAAACCCAAAGGGGCGAGTCACCCCCACTGAGCGCGCTGGGCCTGGCTTCGAGGCGCTCGCTTCACCGTCTTCGAGACGGATTTTCTCACGTACGATTAGTAAAGATTCTTCGTAAATTCGAAATATTCAAAACTGAATTATTTAAATTCGATTACATATTTATATTTGAAGAGCTTGAATTTGATTGGCTGAAAATAAATCTGGAATAGTTTGAATTTGATTGGCACAATCTATATACTTTTAAACCTCCCGACACGTCGAATGGACTGTCGTTTCTTCTCATGCCGTCGTCCTCTATACGACGCGGCGTATGGTCGCAGATTTTTTCTTATTTCACCTTTCTTTCAAACTAATACCAATACACGTTTAAGTATGAAGAACTGTACCGTCGGAAGTAAGCAAATCACCTATTTCAAGAAAAGCCAATCGATTCTGTTCGAAAAAGAAACACGTATAGTCGGGGCCACGATATAGCGAGGTCGTAAAATCGGTTGGGCGTCAAAGTAAACATGTTTTAGCTGCCGGGACCCCGAAATTGACAGAAATACGAGCAGATAAGTACTTGAAACCATGGTCAGGACCGTACAAAGAATTCTTGTATCCAGCGAAAGTCAAACTGATTCTAATATATTTACTGAAAATTGAGTTCAGCTAGGACAATTTAGGGTTTTTTTCTTCTGGGAAAAGCCGCATTTGGAAGTACGGTTACAAGATGCAGATAGAAAATGCAAAAGGATTGTGTAGCT